GTGCCTTCAGCTCCGTGCCGTCCATGAAGACGGACTGACGGCGGGATGGTGGCAGCGACGGCAAGGACGGTGACATGACTTGTGATAGCCATGCCGAACACAGACCTTCAAGCTCATAGCCGCTCAGGCTGGCCACACCTGGTAGGTGCTGGTCGTTGACGATCGCTCCCAGGATCTTAGAGATGATCGAGTTGGACCGGATGTCCAGGGCCTCGCGAAGCGGCGAGCGGTAATCGCTGATGTCGTAGCGCAACAGCATGCGCACCATTACGTCGTCGTCGTTGCGAGCCGCCCAGCTGAGCGGCGTGATGTTGTTGAACTTGTCGATGCAGTTGACGTCGGCGCCGTTCTGCAGCAGGAACTGCACCACCACCATGTCCCGGTCCTCCACGCCCTGCAGCAGCATGCGGTTCTTCAGGACGGACGAGCAGAGCACGTGCACGGCGGAGCACACGTGATCCAGTACCGTCTGTGCCGTCAAAGAATACAAGAACAGAGACACGGACACACACACACACACACACACACACACACACACACATATGGACAGAGCAGCGAAGTGGTGTTTAGCTGTCAAGACAGTGAATGCAGGAAATATGGGCAGTTGCTGTAGTCACTCGATCAGAAGCCTCCATGCAATGACTTTTTTTAAGCCCTACAACAATAGAAGCCTTGTTCACATGGTTTGCTCAAAGTTGCATACTTTTGAAGTACATGATTACAACACAGGCACACAGGTATTGGAATAATGGTATTAGTAATTTAGTACACAGCCGGCAGACATACCTTGGTCAGCTGGTCACGCCGCAGCACCTCAAACAGCTGGCGATGTGCGGACTGCTCCACAAAGCAGCTTTTGATCTTGTCACCGAACTCGGCCAGCTCCTTGATGACGGCACACGCTTCACACAGCAGGACGTCGTCGTCAAGGAAGTTCTGCAGTGCCACAGTCACCAGACACGCCACCTCGATGCAGCGATCGGCGTTGCTCCGCAGCGGCACGTCCAACGAGTCATCCAGGCTACTCTCGGACGACGGCTTGGAGGCGGAGGCCGGCGGTGGTGGCGGCGCCGCCATGTTAGGCTCTCCCGCGGTTTTCCTCCTGTCCAGATGGGCAAGAAAGCGCTTGATGGCCGGAGATGCTCCAGCGTTAGTCTCCACGAGGAGAGGGAAATCCAACATGGCTTGATTGGCCCAGACATCGTTGGGCAGACCGACCACTACGCCACCGTCCACAGCATCTCTCTCCTCATCCTCATCGCAGAAGAGCTCTTCGCTAGACAGGTAGCGCAGAAGCATGAACCCCTTCTTCTGTATACCCTGCACCTCTACGTAGTTCGACATACACTGCAGAATCACATCAACAGCGTTCAGCTCCATGAGCTCTTGACGCTGTGTGGGCAGAAGATCGAGCACGATGGAGATGGCCTCGAATGCCACCTCCACTAGCAACATCTGTGACTCGTGATTACACAGCGCTTTCATGATATCCGGTAGGAAGCCGTCGTCGCAGAACTTGAGTGCCGCCACTTGCCCGTACTGCGTCGAGTGCACACTCATGCTGTCTGGCCCCACGATGGACGTCTTGACCAGCGACAAGCACGAGAGCAGCGCGATGGCTTCGTGCACGACGGCGTGATTCATCGGGAACGTGGATAGCGCCCGCAACGCGACGTCGTGAGCTGACGAGTTGTAGACATCGTTGTAGCAGCGCTCGGCACCGCGCGCCAGCTCGCGTAGCGCCCGCAGGCCCCACTCGTTCAGACCCACGTGGTCACCGTGACGCTTCAGACACGTCACGATCGTAGAGTGCGCACCCTTCTGCAGCAGCAAGCGGCGAATGCGCGCATTGTCCTCGCACATCCAGTACAGGCAGCGACATGCCTCCTCGGCCATGACAGCATCGCGATTCAGACTGCCGTGCAGGTTCAGCGTGATCACGACCTGATGGTGGAGCTGAAAGGCGTCGCTTGAACCGCGCGGACGCTTGCGCTTGTACAGCTGGTCGCGCTCCTCACTCGTCGACGTTTTGCGCTCACTCATGATCTCCTCGCCGAGGTCTCCGATCTCATCCTGAATGCCTTGGTCGACGCTGAGCAAGCGGGACAGAGCTCTGCATGCTGCCGCCTGTACAGACCCCAGGAGCGTGTGGTCGGACATCATTTGCCGTATCAGTGGCAGCCAGCCGCTGATGTCGTGGTCCGAATGCAGCGCAACCTAGGTAGAATTGAATACAAAAAAACGTACACGGGCACAGACAGACACATGCGTACACACGTACATGTGCGCATACACGGACAGACAGACACACACACAGGCATAGACACACATAGACATACACACACACACACTACATGTGCACATATGCATGCATACAGACAGATATGGAGACAGACAGACAGGCAGATTAGTACACACGTGGCGCAAAGACCGGTCTTTACAGGCCAGTGGTATGCCATGAAGGAGAAGAGTTTCAAACGTTCCTTGACACACGGGCTTTGTGCTGGGACAGTCAGAGTCGAGTAGACCTGCTGTTGCATATCTATCGTATGACCATACAGGGCAGCCGTGTTGGTTCCAATTCCACTCAACCCCCTGCATCTATGGGTCACATGACGTCGGTGGCCATGTTGGTTCCACAGTCCACATGCCGTGATCACTTTCTACACAAATGTAGTCACATGACAAATAATTGTGAAAACATGCACCACTCTACAGAAAGGTGGTTAAGAGCGCAGCAAAAATTTCCTAGAGTTACAATGGGAGGTACGTGTATGCATCGAAGGTGGCCGTCACCTTTTTGCGGGGTAAGCTGCCCCATACTTGACGGGTACAACCCGTTCAAGTAGATTTGTGAATACGACCCTACAGAGTTCATTACCTTTTATGCAGAGCTGGTATCACAGTGTGTATGGTTGTAATGGACTTGCCCCGCAAAACCTAATGACGGGAAATGCATGCATGCGTTCCATCCAGTTTTTTTTACAAATCAACAACGTAGACTATGAGCACATGTGTGCATACCTTTCCCAGGCGTTCCAGAAGGACGCACGCACACTGCTGGATCTGAGCGCAGCCCGAGTGCTTCTTGGCGACCTTGAGAACAGTACTAAGAGCACCGGAGGTGATGATGCGACCGTGCGCGTCCCAGTCGTCGATCAGAGCCAGGCGTGAGAGGAGCGCGCACGCCGTGATCTGGAACTCTTCGGTCGGAATGTCCTTCATACTGCGCAATATCTGTTTCACGACAACGAGCACAAACAGTAGAAACAGAGGCAAGAGCAGCAGTGAAGACCATGCGGAAGAAACTACATATGGTGGCAGGAAATGTGACGCGTGAGCCACAGGCAGCACCTCAATTCCTTGTTGATTACATCATACATGGTATACATGGTACAGTGTGTGAAGTCACCAGCCCACATCCCGTAAAAGCCCGTAATAAGGCGCTGGGCTGAAACGTTCGTGAAGGTCCAGAACATGGGCGTCAATTTGGGTCTGGGCGCTATTGTGGGCCCGGGTGTTATTTCGGATAAGTGAAGTGACCGACTTTCACATCATGCCGTACTACAGCATGTACAAATCAGGTTAGCACATGCACAGTGCACTGCACACTAAGTTATACTACAGTACCGTACATATATAATCAATCCATATAATTCTTATCAGTACTGCGCATGAACCACGTCATGGAGTAAACGGACCCAGAGGCCACACGAGCTTCGGTGTGGCCTTTGACTGAGGGAGAGAGGGGGGTGATTTGACCGACAAGCAGAGATATGGGCAGATGGACATATGGGCGGACATACGGGCAGACGCAGACAACCATCCACACAATTACACACAGACACAGTATACAGCCCATTGTCATAACTCAATTTCACCATACAAGCACATGCACATTCATGCCCCCCCCCCCCCCCCCCACACACACACACACAAACACCACACACACACACACACACACACACACACACACACACACACACAAACACACACAAACACACACACACATACAAACACACATACAGCGTCACACACAAACATACAAGCGATTGTACTCGCTCACTGCCAGAAAGCGATGGCATCCCCCCCCCCAAGGGAGCGAGAATCGAAAGGAATCTTGGAGAATATAACTCAATCGCCACACCCACACTCATGCACACACACACATGCACACACACACACACACACACACACACACACATACACACAAGCGGACAGCAGGCACTCACGTGTTCATGGAGCCCCTCCATCACCAGTCGAGGTCGCAGCACCGGATGATTGCTCAGCCTCATCAGCACTCGGCACGCGTGCAGCTGGATGTCTCGCTTGCCTCCGTGACTGACTACGGTGTTACAGATACGCCGATACTCTCCACTACGCAGTAACCAGTCCAGCGCGGACACACACTCAATGTCCAGCTCCTCGCTGTCCAGACTCTGCGTGCCACTGGATGATGTCAAGCAGGCGGCCAGGATGCGGCAGATGTACTCCTGCACGGCCACGTCCAGATTGTACGTGCTCAGCGTGGACATGAGCTGCGGCAGGATCTTCTGGCCGCGCAGCTTGGCGCGCAGCGACGACTCGCCGGGGCCCGACAGCTCGGCCATGATGGCCAGGCAAGAGAGCATGGCCTCTTGGACAAACACATCGGCAGGGTGGCGTACCGCGACGGCCAGCATGACCTTGTAGGCCTCGCGCGACTCCGCTTGCACACGCAGCTCATCACAGTTGCATACGAACGCCTTCAGTGTGTGGCACGCGGCCACCAAGACACTTGGATTGTTTTGGCAGTTCTCGAACACGTTTAGAATTGAGTGCACCGCACCGCATGATCCATAGTGCACCAGCACATCAAAGCAGTCCTGGACCTGTGCAACTTTACACAACTGGTACAGTGCTGCTTCCAGCTTTTCGGCCTCTGCTGATATTGCCAAGACGCTGAGAGCAGACTTGGCCTGGTGGATGGCGGCACTGGGTGCTCTATCCGACCCATTCTGACCAGCCGTACTGGCTGTTCCAGCTGAAGACATTATTGCCTCGCTCAAGCCATTGGGTCTTCTACGCTGTGCCACGCAGCTGGGGCTTGCATCATCCCTCACCTGACCACGTACAGTACACACTACACTGCTGCTTCTACTGCTGGAGTGCCTCTTTGAATCACTCACGTAGAACTGGCACAAGGAGGAAGGTCAAACAATTATCTGTCCAGTATCCTGATCTGCAAAGATTCACTGGACGATCCTGACTTCCAGAGTACCCTTGAACTCTAGTCTAGTGAATAGTTGAAAACAAACAAACTGAATTCAACCAAGCATACAGACATACATAATCCTGACATGGGGAATTTTTACTGAACATGATAAGAACTGAAAATAATCCGGAGCAGGAAGAATGCATGACGCGCTTGACTACTACTGACGTAATCATTATGCCTTTTATGGAGTTTCGGAAAACCAAGGAGTCGCAAAATACCGGTATTTTACTACTCCCTGATACAGTGTCATGTACATGGCATGCACTGCTCACTGTGCATGGCATGAGTGCATGCAGTGAACACCCTCTTTTTTTTCTTTTTCTGTTTATTCTTTTTACCAGGCGTGGGCCGTCCCCTAGCTATATATCATGTATATTGGCCCTGGACTATCAAAATGGGTGCCTTATTATTTTTCTGAGTGCAATAAAGAGTTGTGGACTAAAAAAATAAAATTAATAAAAAAAAATGCAGTGAACACCACTCAGCTGGGAGTCGTAAAATACGACTCCCTGGTGCATGGTGAACACCTGCACCTGCACTGCAGCATTGTGACGAAAAGACAAGTGGCCGAATGCCATAATAACTATGGCATTCGGCCACTTGTCTTTTTCGTATGACGCGCCTACTTCGTGTAGTATTGCGGAGACTCCGACTACCCCGAACCAAAACCGGGGGGGGGGGGGGGGGGGTTTCATGTACTCTTGCCCGAACACACTCAACACAGCAGTGTAATCATGGTTTGAAAGTGCTGCTTTTTTAGCGGCATACATTGTCCATCGATCCAAATTAACTTTGAAAGCCAAAACTGGCAAAAGGCAAGGACTACATGATTATTGTAACGCCAATAACGGCAAAGGCAAAGGAGGCGCACTCAAAACTGTCTGACTGTAGTGTTACTGAAGTGTCAGATAGACATGGCCCAGATATCATAACATGAGCTCAGTGCAGACAAGAGAGCTTCGAGTTCGACAGTTCGAGTTCGACTCGTTCGAGTCAAGACTGCGCAGACGATCTATGCATGCTGTGTGCATCATGCATGACTTCTGCACTGTACTGCATGCCGGTGCATGCCAGTTACTTGAGCAAGTCAAGACTGAACTCTTCAAGTGCTGGCGTTCACCAGATCAGATCGAGTGCAGCAGTCGGCCAGGCGGATCTCCAGTCTCCACTCTCCAGTGCAGAGTCCAGTCTATCTCCACTCATAATCATAATATGATTATCATCGCGTCACTCGGCGTAGCCAGCTGACCGTGTACAGTCATGTTCATGTACACTCACAGTAGTCAGTACTGAGAAATTTGCGCATGCGCTTTGGACACCAGCTTTGACCTTGGTTGCCTTGATTTCGTGCAGTTTTTAGCAACGGTCGTTGGCGTTGTTGTCCTGTGCTTGACTGTATGATAGTGTTTGTAGGTTATCGCGGAGTAATTTCTACTGCAAGCTGTCCAACGTAGGGATCCCAACTGTTCTTGGAGCTTAGAATTTATCCACCACATTTACGACAGGGTTGGGACGATTGGATATCTGGCATGGTGGTTGATAATCGGCAGTGTTTATGAACCAAATTCTATTGGGCCCTGATCACACTCGGAGCTTGCCGTAAACGGTTTGGAATAGGCGGTATGTCGTTTCTGGGCACAATTTGCCCATGCTTGAAAGCCGAGGAGCCACCACCAGTAAGTCTCAAGGGCTGTAGTCAGGTGCTCTCGGGCCTGCCACAATAGAAGGTGTCTTTTGTGCTGTTTTGCAGCGACGGAAGAAGATCGATCGAGCGATGATCGGAGAGCCAAGCAATTTTGTGGTGAGCATCACGGCTTTGTTGTAGAAATCGGTGAATGGCAGGGCCCTCAACTAAGTGCTTATACTCTGATTTATTGTTTTTAGCACACGGGGCACATCGGATCTGGCGATATGGGTGGCGGAGCTTCATCAGCGGTAAGAATGTTTCTGTCAACACTGAGAACTTTTCTATGAAGTATGATTCTTGTTGTTCGGATTTTAGTGTATTGGGTATTTGGCTGATCTTGTGTATGGTAGTTTACAGGATTGCATTCCGCAGCACCTTTTGAAAACGTGTTTGCCTGATATCTGCACAGCTTTCGGAAATTCAGCAGCGAATGGAATCGAAGGGAGGCTACCAGGCGAATGGAACAGCAGCGGAATGAAATCGACAATGCTTGATTTGCCGCCTTCAGATTTCGGTGAGTGACTGATGCAGGATGTCAGGATTATGCTACTGAATTATGCAACTCAATTTTATTTAGGGCATGGGTTTTCTGTGTGACTGTTTTTAGTGTTGGTGCCGTAAAAGACTGCGTTGTGAAATATTAGAGATGAACTAGTAATTCTGTATTGTAACACAGAATTGTAGTATTTCTCAGTTGTGGTTCTATGTGGCTGGAGCCAGTACGTGGAGTGGCTGGTGCTAGTACAGTGTCAACATTTCTCCAAGTATGGACTGGTGGCGACTTGGCATTTTGATTCTTCGTGGAGTGCATATCGTTGAAGCGATTCGACATCTGATCTCCCTAGTAATGCCCAGGAATGGCTTGCACACATGGGTACCAGGCTCTTGTGGATCATGGCAGTTGTTGCCAGCTAGCATGCTTCAGGCGTTTGCACCTGTTTCTGGTCCAGGTGACTGAGCATCTTTTTTTACATTTCCAAGTCACTCTATCAGAGGCTTGTAACACTGCCTATGGCGTTTGTTAGCTGTGAGTAGCTTCATGACAGCAGATTGTAGAATCGTGATTTACAGACAGAGTCAGTAGCATTGGCCTTGATGGTTTGAGCACTTGCACATCTACCTGCAGTTTGTACAATGTGGGTGTGAATACCACTCGTTGAAGGAATCGCCACTACCTGCGCCTGGCACTGGCTGCGCTCACGCTTATCAGGGTGTTCGTTTCCATTCCTCTGTAAAGGCACGTTGTTAAATCTTGTTTTCAGCCGTGACTGCCGTCACGAATGCTATGAGTATGGGTTGGGGAGAGGGTAGCTGCAGTCATGGCTCTAGAACTACAGTAAGAACACTTTGTTCTTTGGCACCCAATCTTACTGTAGTTCTCCCATGTCTTCTTGCCTTGCCCATTTAGAAGTATGCAGAAGTAACACGGTACTGTCGGTCGCCGAAGAACTGGGGGTCAACCTCATAACGTAGACCGTTCTTATTAATTTTTTTCATGTACTACAGTCTATGCTCAGTTGGATCACCGTGCATGGTATTCTCTGCTTGGTGACATTCTAGGCTGCTTGTTCCTCGTCGCCCGACTGTACTGTAGTTTCTATTGGACTCTGGAGGTGGTGCCGTTCATTGGTTATGTGGTGTGGCACAGCATGGCCGATTTCAGTTTAGTTTACCACGACGGATCCTGGTTGGGAGATGCGGACAGCCAAGAATGGATTGGATGCGCTGTCCGTAGTTTTTTTTCTTTCTACAAGCAGCCAGTGAACTCTACGTTCGTCATGCTCAGAGCAATGCCTGGGTTTTGGTAGAGGTTTTTACTAGTTGATGTTGTGGAATGATGACCATCAGTGGAATTGGTGTGTCCATTTGGTGGCCACTGCGAATGAAGGTCTGCCGAAATTGGACAGTCGTGTACATGTGTATGTACCTTTGCTGTGTTACTTCCCAGCTGGTTTTCCCAGCAGGGACGGGAGTTGGTTAACGCAGTAGGGTGCAAGTGGGTCAGGCTTGCTGTACTGTGTAGTGCGCAATTCCATCCATCAGGGTGCCTGTACTGCCACTGTGTACAGCAGTGCAGGCATCCAGTCTTCGCTTGTTGTTTGCAAATAGTTTAACTTCGTTTCACTGGGGAGAGTTGAGCGGTCAGATCCACCCTGCTTTATGGTTGTGTTTCTTTCTTCTGAACTCCTGTTGGTAACACTTTGTAGGCCCGGTAGATGTTACTTACACGTGTAGCTAATTGTATCTGATCCTGTACGTGCTTGTGGCCACTTTTCTGTGTACCCAAGCGTTGTCGATGCAACTTATTGATGTTTGGAATCGCTTTGAAAGGACTGTGTTGCTTGATGTCCATGTGGATTAGCAATGTGCTGCTCTGGGAGATGCTTGTTGCAGTTGTTCGATCTGGGGGCTGCTCTACTTTGTCCTTTGTATGCTGATCATACCTTTGACGTGGGCTGAATTCCCGTGATGGTGGCTGTGGAGCCGTGCCTCGTTTAGTACACCAGCATGTCCGCTAAACCTGAGCAAGAACTGTTCATCTGTGCTTGTTTTTCCGTTGGTGGCCGAATTACAGATGTATGTCTGTGTGTTAGGTAGGCCAGCTTTGAGTTCATGGTTTGACGTTCGATTAGTATTTGCAGTACGCCTACGGCTAATGCAACACACTGTGCATGACACATCAACATTGATGTCGAACGGTATTTCAGTATGGTGCAGTACGCCATTATAGTAGGTGTCCTTCCGTGGTGCTCCTCTAAAAGAAATTAGAAATTTATGCTATCGGTCATTGCTTCTCTTTTTTTATGGGTGCCAATGATGAGAAGTGGTAGGGTCACTACCGTAGTGACCGTAGCGTGTTTTACGCCCCTGGTCAAGTGTGTGGATCACCTTTCTCATGTTGAAACGCAATGCTGTTGGCTTTATGTTGCTGTTCGTACTTTCTTGTTTTGATGTTATTTGTCACTGAAGTTGACCAGCTTTCGTTTCATTTGTTACGCATCCTATCACTACAATACTCTCTTGCTATTGGTCATCGTATTGGTGGATGGAATGTCACACGTGTCTTGAAAGGCACTTGGGTAGCTAATATAATGGAGTATCACTGCATGCCAGTTGAATGCTGTGTTGTTCCTAGCTTGTCGTGCAGAGATGGTAGTACAAGTAACCAGTACGTTGTTCGGAGTGTCGGTGCCTTCTACGTAAATGTTGAGATGGGGCTGATTTCAGACAGTGTGTATGTAACTATTTTTGTTGCCGTGTGTTTGTGCAAACAGTGTTGATATGCAAGGCATCCTACTTGGCTTCAATGTAGATTTTGTGACACTGTTTGTTGTAGCATTCATGCAGCCCATGACTTGAGAGGAATCCTTGCGTCGTTGACCGGCACATACCGTATTTCCGCAAATAAAAGGCCGTCCTCGTATACAACGCCTTCCTCGTATACAAGGCCGGGGCAGGGGGCGATTGAAAAAATAAAAGACCGTCTCTGATTAGAAGACCGGGCCTACTAAATGAGTCTTTGTTCTTGTGTTAAAAATAGAAGACCGTGCTCAAACTGTGGGAAAAAATTAGAAGACCGTGCTCAAACTGTGTAGAAGAAAATGGAAGAACGGGGGGTAAAACTGTGTGACGAGAAATAGAAGAACGGGGTCAAACTGGGTTGAAAGAATACAAGACCGTCATCGATTATAAGGCCGGGTTAGGACGAGGTTGAAAAAATAGTAGACCGGCCTACTATTTGTGGAAATACGGTACCTACATGTATTTAGTGTTGCCTATCTGCTCTCAAGACCAGGGTGTAGTTTGCGAATACGCACGTTCACGCCACCTTCTCGTGATGAAACGAATGGCTGTTTCGTAAGCACTGACAACTTTGGCAGCATTAATCGGAAATAAGCCGTATAGCAAATGCCTTGCCCCCGCTGACTACAGTAGTCCAGAGCTGCAAAACTGGGTCACTTTACAGGTGTTGTAACGTGCTATTTTGTGTAGTCAGTTTGTGTTCCCTTTGGCAACCGTTCATGTAGCTTTGTTGTGGTAGCCACCGGGCTGTGGTGTTCTTTATGAAGCAGCAAAGGCCGTTGTTTGCGTTGTATTAGCCTTATCCACATTGTGCGGATGTAAGAATTCCCGTAGGTTGGTAAATGCCCGGTTGGATGCTCATTGTGTGCTATACTGTAAACTGCATAATATTCGCGACGGATAAATGTTCGCTATTTTCGCGAGAATTAACCCTCGTGAAATCTAACTTCAACAGTGGGTGCATGTAAGTACCCCCAGTGCTTCGCGAACTTTTGCCATCGCAAACTTGCTGGCTCTAAGAAATCGCGAAAAATTTGTGACGCGAATATTGGGCGGTTTACAGTACATGCAGATTGGGCCGGTTTAGGCCAATTCTCAATGGCAAACAGTTGCTTTTCCAACCTCGTCACTTTGGATAGAGCTAATGACAAGCTAGATCCTCGTCCGAAAAGGGCTGTTGCTTGAAATGCCTGCAGGGCACTTCTCGTAGCAGAAATACAGATAACACAATAGGGTCCCGTGCATTCAACGCCCAACCGGGTCGGCGGGATTTCGACCTGACGTCAATGTGCATAAGGCTAATTGATATTTCCTCACGTAGTATGCTGCATGGCCAATGTTTGTACTGTTGCTGTCCTACACTCGTATCGTTCCTCCGACCTCCCAGTAATATCGGTGTTCATTCTTTTTGAAGTACAGTAACTTAGGGGCCGTCCGCTAATATCGAATTATTTTAGTTTAAACTAAACCCCTCCCTCCCCCTCAGAACGTAAAAAATGTTGACATACATGCATATACAACAGCCATGTACATGAATCAATGTTTTCTGAAACGAAATTGGTCAACCCCCTCCCACCCCATAACGAAAAAAGTTCAATATTTATGGACGACCCCTTAGAACCTAAGGCCGTGATCGTTTGGTCGGATCCAGATCCAGATCCTTTGGATCCACTGGATCTGCAATGATCGATTGGTCGAATCCGGATCCAGATCCTCCGGATTTGGATCCGAGTAACCCTGCCCCGGGAGCAGGGTTGACTGGATCCATCGGATCCAAATGTGACCTTTGTGCGTATATGGCAGGTAAAAATCATTTTTCTACTCATTGTCGTACGTCTAGTGGACTTTTGTTGACTTTTCGTACGACGCGCGCGATCAGTACGACTTTTGCCTTTTTTGGGTGACCTGTCAGCGCCATTTTTTACTTCGTCAACATGGCAACAGCCAAGGTCCGCAAAAAAGTGTTCGGTTGATTCTGAAGGATCCGACGGATCTGAGATTTGGATCTGGATCTGGATCCGACCAAACGATCATAGCCTAGAACTCTCCTCCCCCCCCCCTTATCCGGGTGTCACAGGATCGAAGGGCACCTGTATCTCTGAATTCTCCTTAGTTCGGAAATAAGCTACGGCCATAATGGATACGGAGAACCGGTGTTTTCGGTTGGCCTCACTGAACCAAGTTCTGATGCTGTCCACAAGGATACACGGGGGGGGGGGGGGGTATGATCTTTCGGTCTGTGAAATTGTTTGGCTAGATGTTACGGGAAGGAAGAATTTTCGATTTGACTTTGCATATCTACCTTCTAACCTGGCGGGGGGGGGGGGGGATATCCGGATGCAGTCGCCTCCTGATGTAACGAAGACCGTTGTCCAGGATAATTCATTCTGTATAACCGAAGACCGTTGTAACACAAGTAAATGCACTTACACTGTGTGTTCAAACTAGGTCATGGACAACGGTTCGCTATATGCGAGTTCGTTATAAGTGGCGTCGACTGTGTGAGAGGTTGAACTGTAGAGTAACAGGCGTAGCAGTTAACGTAGACTGCTGATTATCTGGACGTCAACTATCCGATTGGTCGATTTTTCTGAAATACCGGTTTGGACTGAGTTTACCCCTTTCAGGACGGACTTGATTCAGGTAAACTGCTTCATGCACTACGTATGGAAGCAGTTTGGATCAGAACTTCCGTTTCCTTTTATCAATTTCGATAATCTTGGGTTCCTGGAAAGCTATGGTTCAGAGGAACACACTGGTGTAATCCTTACTCGCAACAGTGCCACTACATTGGTACTATAGCGCTGGGATGACATACGAAACGGGACTTTGAGCCGATTTGGTTAAATTGCTGGTTTTTTTCGTAATAATCACGGTAGAGCGCTGCTTTTTTTGTAGCTGACAGCTTTAGATCCGTGCCTGACGTCACTCTGCTCTGTACCTGCCTGGCTTGTCATGCCACAGGGGGAATCCCTTGAATGACACAGCGGGCGGAAGTCAAAATTTGCTGCAGGACGTAAAATACCTTGCGAGTATCGTAGCTCCACTATTTGACTTCGGATTTGTTCGAGCCGACAGCTGAGACGATTCTAATGTCGATAGACCTTTCGATTGCGCGATTCTGTCAAGGGAAAGCCGAGATACGAAAATTCGAGTTTATGCCGTATGCACTGCGCAGTCATGACGGATATATCCGTCATACCGTCCTTAAAGGGTTGAGGGACAAAAAGAGATTCCCGCCCAAAGCAGACAGCCCTGCGTCCCGAAGGGTACGCATATTCGGCAGTCTGCAGTATGTTGTTTGTTCAAGGAAAGTGTAAGCAGCAGCATTCGGGCCTGTGCAGATTTTATACTTGAAACGGCTGTATGAAGGAACTGGGTACCAGCGGTTGTGTCGCTTTGCTGATGGTGTGCTGTGTAAACGTGTCAAGGTCGGCTGGAGAGCGCAGTTGTGGTGTGGTGGTTGACGAAACATATTGCTGATATGTAGAAAGAAGAAGGGCCACATGGATACGAGTTATGAGCAACTGTCCACCACTATAACTAGATAATGTATGGTTGGAAAGTGTGACAATTAGCCTTAATACTACAGTGGCCTGTTTATAATCCGGCTCCATTCTTGTTACGAAATTCTGCTGGATTGGGGAGGGTATTCAGAAATTGTCGGTATGAGGGCAACAGGCTAGGTTAGGTGAACAGAAATTCTCGGTACAGAGAAGCAGTGTCCTATTGGATTATGTGTGTTAGTGTTTGTTCGGTGTATTGAAATTTTAGGTATGAAACAGACGCACCGAAAGTTTGTGAAATTACAGTACTTGATTAACGAAATAATCTGCTTTGTTGGTGCAACGGTCATGAACAGAACATTTTGTTTACTGGAGATTATGCTAGTTGAGATTCTTTGGAGCTGATCGTTTGAAATCGAACTGTGCTAATGCCAGGAGTGCATGTGCACTCAACGGGTCATAACTTAGTCAAATCCAAAACAACAGCAAGCCACGAGGAAATATAATAATGGAAATATTGGGTTGCTGTGCCGTGCGGAAGATGTCGAAGTCGTTTACCATGGGCAGCATTGTGTGTGCCATAACAATGCGCTTAATCGGAGCAGATTCGCTCCTGTGTAAATTCATTGCAACCTAGAATACGACATTTTATCTACAAAAAGAAGATGCAGCTGTGACTCGGTAAATATATGGTGGCCTTTTCTTGACCTGCTCAGAATGGCGTGGCCTTTTCTTAGTGGAATTCCCGTTTACGACAGCTCGCAAATTGCGGACTCCACACAGAGATGGTGGTCTTGTTCAGAGTCAAGTGACTGGAAAGGACGTTATCTGGTCTGGACTGTAACAATTGCCTGTCCTCAGGAGCATATGATCACGTTGACAGGCTTCACTGTATCTGTGTCGCCCGTGTCTTATTGACTTTTTTGGTTCTCTGTGTCCTGTGTGTGTGCAGATCCTCATTCTCAAGCGCTCGGTCGCATTAGCATATTTACTTTATCCGGGTTGGATGCATGGCCGCATGGGTGGGCGTTCCTTCACCGCAACCACCGCCGCCGGCGTCGGAAGCCACTCACTACTAGTAGTAGCACTAGTTCACACGACTGGCTCATCCAGCTTCGCTGTAAATATCCGTTCCTCGACATCATCAAACGTGCGAGGCTGAGTTTAGGATTTTCCCTCCCCCGTGTTGCACAGCGCAACAATAAATTTATTTGTACAGTTCAGCCTATTTTTTTGCTCCATGATGTATTTCTTTCCTTTCTCACATGAAAATTTTAAGATCTTGAAATACCCCACAACAGATCCGCCAGCGTGCCCTTTCCCGTCGTCTCCCGGTCTTTTAGCCTTCATTTTTTTTATACCAGCCACTTGTGTTTCTTTTCAGAGACGGAAAGAAGAGTATGCCAGCAGCGCGTCTTGCTCAGTGCTATGCACTGGCATCCGCGCCCCGCTGTGAACAAGTTAGTGCTGTGGTAGTCAGGGTATCTCTTGACTGCACTCGCGTGTGCGCTCGTGCCATACCTCCACCCGTTTTGTTGTCGTCTTGCTGACTATTCTCCTGCTATTCCTTTGTTATCCTAGCTCCCGAATCTGTTTGGGTGCCAGCTTTTTGTTTGGTCTTGTACGCTACCTCACCTCTTGTCAGACTGTTGTCCGTCACCTGGCAGATCCCATTCGCATGACAGTGTACACACCTAAAGCATGTCTCCCCTTATTTGCATAGATAACGAAATATCATCCCCCTTTTTCCTTCTTTTTTTCATTTTCATCATGCTTTTGTTTCTTGATGGTGGCTGCTCTTTTGGTTGTTGTCTGTGCAGCCTTCTTGACACTTTACGCTGAATTGGACATAATGGTTTTTCTTCTGTAGTTCTCCTGTGGATTTGGATTTGTGGAATTAATATTATAGTGAGATGGTCTCATTTTTGATTCTTACCCTTGTTGCTTTCTCTGATATAGACCTAGTTGTGCCGACTACCAGATTAATTATTATTGTTGTGGAGATAGTTCTTCCAAACCGAACTGACCTGGGTGTGTTGAGTTTCCACCATGTCAGAAGGTGACAATTACTTCCGAGTAGTGGAACTGCAACTAAAATTCCTTGCAAGTTCAGACGGTTGGCATTAGGTGCATTTGATCACTGGGTCTGGTGTTGCCATTAGGGATTACAGCACTCTGTGCCATGTAGACAAGACAATGCCGCTGGTGAGTGGTGACACTCGGGAGTTCAGTGGAGACATGGCACTGTGTGCTTATACATGTATGGAGTCCTCTCTGCTCAATGGCTACATGTCACAGACGGAAGGCCCAAGGCTAGTTTGTTGTGTTCAGTATCGTTATCGTGTGTCACAGACTGCACATTCATTTTCATAATTACATTTTTGTAATTCATCTATCCTTCTTTCTGACATGATCTACGTTACATGTATAATATGAACCAATAATTTTTTTACTTCAACTGACAGACAACAAGGTGTCAAGGAGATGGTTTCCTAGGTGAAAAATGGCGATCCACGGATATTTTTGCAGAACATGCAAAAAAACCGGTTGTTGCATGAAAAACTTAAAAAAAGAAAATCTTGAATATAGATCTGCCATCGCGATATCGCATCGATATCGCGATATCCACATCCAATGCAAACATGATTTGGATGATGCCTGATGCAGTGATGGTTCGCAATTTGGGAAACCAATACATGTAGTTATTTGTTTTCAGGATTTTATGGTGTCTCAGCCTACCTTGTACTGTAGAAGAATAAGTTAGTAGTAGATCCTGAGAGTGCCTCGGGTATGGCGTCTCTCTCCAAGAGGGAACATGACGAGTTGCGCTCGTGGCTTGTCCAGAGAGTGGCTCAGATGCTGGGCTACCCAGACAGCAGTGTGGTGTCTGCTGCAATGCAGTGTGTCCAGAAAGGCTATGACTCAAAATCCACCACAGGTAGGCGTTGTTCCCAGCCACTTAATCTGTGCATTTATTCACTAGTACACAACATTTCAGGCACATTCAATTTCGAAAAAAGACAATTTGGATTTGATATTGGAAAGATTCATTTCAGTATTTAAATAGAAATTTGGTGGCTGAAAGCACCATATCCGTTACATGCAAACACATGCGGGAGTGGCAGGACTAGCTGTTGGCTCGACCATGTCATATCCTGCTGTCCTTGTGTGCGGTATAATGGGTTGGCACACATAGCCTATCGATAGTCAACACACATGTGTGGCTGCAGAGTTGGTCGGACCAATGCCTCATCAAGTGGACCAGCTCCACCGCGCCTGCATACGTAGGGTAACAAGGCAGTCGACAGCCACACCTGGAGCAGAGGGGACTGCACTGTGTGCTGTAGGAGAGCAGTAACTTTGTTTGGATCAGGCAAAGATCCCTCTGTGAGAAAAGGCACTTGGTACTTGTCGTAGCGTCTAGGGGGGGGGATCACACGAGTGGAACATGGAACCATGTGTGTGTGTGTATGTGTGTGTGTGCGTGTGCGTGTTCTCCATTGGGTCATGGTCGATTTATACATCCTCGCATACGGCACCGCTGGTCTATGCTGCGTTTGGGCGCAAACACACACGCGCATACACTTTGGACCTTGGACACACTGCCATGTTCTGGCTATGCAAACCCCATGGGAGGTTGAGCAGGTTCGGAGCAGCAGGGGTGATGACGGGATAGGTTCTGTGTTCTACTGAAACGCCGGCCGCAATTGCAAACGATGCGGAAGGAGCTACGGTCTGTGTTGGTTGCTCTGGCTAAGCCGCGGCTACACTTGAATGCTGCAATTTCCACTATACTTGCTGCAACTGCTGTGTGCCATCACGCCAAGGCATGAGACACACACACGCACGCACACACACACACACACACACACACACACACACACACACACACACACACACACACACACACTCACACACACACACACTTGCTGGAGTACCAGTGCAGCAAAGCACCATGGCTTTTACGAGAGTTTAACCCTTTGTGTACTGAAAAAATGTACGCAGACTGAATTTGATCTCGACTCGCCTCAAATTCCATAATTCTCCTGGTCATAACTTTGGTCTCCTTTTGACGATTTTTTCAATCTTGAGCTTCCTGGAAAGCTCGTCGCAAGAGGAACACATTGAGCGCACACTTGCCACCACGAAGGTCAAAACTCCAGCGCTACAGCCCAGCGTCTTAGTTGCAACGCCAATATTCCGACAGAAGTCGTCTTGTACCAGCCATTTCGCTCTCCTTGCTTGTAACAACTAATTTTTACTTCCAAAAAATTTCACAATCTGCCACGAGTCCGTTTGCCATTTTGAATGTGTTTTTACGTCACTGGATGCCCAGAAAGATGGGAAAGTCCCTTATTCAAATCTGCGCGCGCGGCTATTGAGCGACAATTGCCGCGATTTGACTTTCGAGCTTCGTAACTCTGGAACCGCACATCGGAGTGTTTCTGCGATTGTTTCAATGAACAGCTGGGAGTTTTCTCTTCGACCTACATAATTTAGGTTTTGGAAATAACCCAGAAATGACTGAGTTACGATCGATTGAAAATTTGAAAAGTTTCGATCCCAGGGGATCGAAAGTTGTACAGTCCGTACACAAAGGGTTAACGCTGTGACTTGTGTGCCCTACTGTATGTATGTGTGTGTTCAGATGCGCTTAGCAAACTGCTGGAGGACAGCGCACCGCAGCTTGTGGGCAGCCTGTTTGAGAAGCTGAACCAGGTAAGAGAGCGTCTCACTCGGAATTCCCTTGGTGCGGTAACATATTGTAGCTGCTGAAGTGTGTGAATATGCTGCTGTAGTCTACTGGCACAGTGGTTGGGTTTGTTAATGTGACTTTTTCATTTTTTCGGTGAACTTACCAGCTTGTGCAGCTGTGGTAGTACAGTGATGTGGAAAAGTAAAATGGCTTCTTGAAGAACTGGGAAATTGTTTTCTTCTTTATCTAATCAGTGGGTGTATCGCCTGAGATTCCATGGAACTTCCAAGAACTAGTGGTCTATGCTCAGGCTATGGGGCTGCCGTAGCCCAAACAAATGCAAACAGCTGCGAAAACTGCATGTGTATTTGTTATTTTGGTCAAGATATAGAGCTGGCAGCAGTTGAGTCTGATGCCTCTGCGAAAACGATTTAAAAGTGTATTTCTTCTTCTCTGTTTGGCAGATCAAAGGGCCGTCGTCTCAGGGACCTGGAGCTGCTCCTCCGCTGAGATCTGTCACCAGTAAACGCTCCGTAAAGGTAAGGTGTTCCTCGGCGTGCTATAATTGTACCGATCCTGCTTCTTGCAAAGGAGAGACATTGCCAACGTGGCTTAGGCCATAGAGTTTTTTTTTGTAAGGTAAAGTTCGCACAACCGCGTTACCACCGTCTTTAACTATCGTATTTAGAAACACAAGCAACTTAGAGAAGTTTTGCTCGTGCCAGGCCAGCACCATATTTTGGGAAGGCTCCGAATACACCAGAGGATGCAGCCAGTGTGGTAGGAGTGCTCAATACCGTGGAGGCAGCGTGTACTACACAGACACAACCGTGTTGCCTGGTGATTGCATGGCATGAAGCTCAGAGTAGCAGCAAACTAGCAAACTTGTGCCTCGTTGCTCTGTGTAATGCTCCAGATACAACCCATGTGTGTGTGTCAATGTATGTGTGTGATCGTATTTAAACGGACAATCCCTTTCCACTAAGAAAGTGGTGGACATCACGCAACTGCATTACAAAGAAAACGGGGTTTGTCAACTGACACCACTCTATTCAGTTGCTATTCGCAATGGGTGCATGCGCTAGATGAAAAATTCTTTATTGTGATGTCGAAAAATTAGACGTTTCGGGCCAGTCACCATCATCAGAACAATTTACATCCCTTTCCAGCATTCATAATGTACTGACCAATCCGCTTCTCGTGTTGTCCACTGCAGGAGGCTTTCGGTGAGGAAGGCGCTGAAGAGTCAAACTACCCAATCCCAAAGCGCCCGAGACCGTAAGCCAAGACCTGGAAGTGTCGAATCTGCAGAGTTTGTGCATGCCTGGCATGTTGCTGAATTTGAAACCCAGTGTTGTTGTTGTCGTTGTCGTTGTTGTTGTTGTCGTCGTCGTTGTTGTTGTTGTTGTTGTTGTTGTTGTATGCGATGGCATTGGTGATCTGAGTGGCATGGTGTTAGCAGACTCTCACAAAAACCGCATTGTATTTGGTGGTGCCATGCTCATATCGGGCGGTGGCCCTGTTATTCCTAGTCCGTGTTTTTGTGTTTGAAGTCGCTATCAGTGTGACTACAACAGCTATGGCTGAGCTCTGATCTCTTCCCTATTGGAGACAGGTTTTCATGGAACTGGCAAAGTTGAAGATTTCTGTACGTGTAGGATGAAGATTGTTCCTGTCCAGATTTCTTTATGTTTGAAGCAGAGCTATCAAACCTTCAGGTTGTGTGTGCATGGTGTATGGGTTCTTTTTCTTTTTCTTTTGAATATTGGTTGGTGTACGGTATGTGTGTACGGTATGTGTGTGCATGCGTGTGTGTGTGTGTGTGTGTGTGTGTGTGTGTGTGTGTGTGTGTGTGTGTGTGTGCATGCGTGCGTGCGTGTGTGTGTGTGTGCAGAGACCCAGAGTCGCTAAGTGGCCCGGTGCCCGTTGCACAGCCGGCTGCGGTCTCCGCCGTCCCCGCTTCCACTGGACTGCCCGTCGCAACGCCCATTCTCAACTCAAACCAGGTGAGAGTTTTGTTCCGAGCACCATGCCTGCTGAACCGTCCCGGATACATGTACATGTACAGTGAAGCCTGTCTAAGAAGACCGCTCAAAGGGCCTTCAAACTGTGATCTCTGTTACCAGGTGGTCTCCTGTCCAGGGTGACTTGACTGGAAATAGCATCCCTTGGTCCTGGTTCCAGTGGTCTTCTAGGAAAGGTGGTCGCCTTCTCCTAGTGATCACTTAGCCAGGGTTTACTCTACGTGTAGAGTAGAAGGGTCAAGTTAAGGGTCACACCGGATTAGGGATCGGAGCCCGGGGAGGGGGTCACTTGGCACGTACATTGTGCGGGTGATCCTTCGGAGCCCGGGGGGGGGGGGGCACTTGGCATGTATATTGTGCGGGTGATCCTAATACCGGGATTTAATTTCCGGCCCAAGGGGGGGGGGGTCCCCCGTCGGTTTCTGAGGAAGCCGTAACTTTCTTCGCTCCAAACTATTTTTCCGGGTCCATCTACTCACAAGAAGTCGTTTTGCACACCTTTTTGCCCATCCCTGTACAACTGAGTCCAGCTATGTCCGCGCAGAGTTAGGTGGACCCTTAACCCGGGTTCTACTCTACACGTACTGTCAGTGTGTGCTAGTTTGAAAAGTCTCGAGTTGTCAGTACATGTGCCAGCAATGTGTTCTCATTTTGAGTAATTAGTGACCCGCAGTACGCGAGTTAGCTTGTTCTGCATGGCAGTGCGTGTATAGCGGACAAGCGTGCATGCAGGCCAGTGGCTGTGTGTATTGACAGTCCGGAGTGCGCGTTGAACAACAGCTCTTGCTATTGCGGCTGGTTCTGCTGCTGTTGCTGCTGCTGCTGTCTGTATTTGACTGTGATCATCCTATTCATGTTTTGTGCTAGCTTAGAGTGTTGAGTACTCCACCCCAGGCGCGTGCTCGGCGATGGGCACGGGGGGCACGTGCACCCCCCAAAAATTTTCAATCTGATCCAAGGCAATTGTAATGTATGCAAATATGCTCTAAAATTCAAGAAAGGTTGCAAACAAATTGCAGAAAATTGCCGGGGGGGGGGGGGGCTCCCGTGCACCCCCCTAGTTGGGGGGCCGAGCACGCCCCTGCACCCAATCTACAATGTTTAATACGGGTTGTGTTGCTGCCTTTGCTGTGTCACACCTGCGTAGATTAGTGATATTCTAGCCAGGACCAGGCAGCAGATTGAGGAGAAGAAGGCGGCTCTGGCGGTATGTTATTGTCATTCTGCTTGCTTGTCTTGCTGTATGCTCACATGGGCTATGGGTGTATGCTACGTTGCGGTGTTGGTGGTAGTGATGGTACTTCTGGGTGTCCTGTTTTCTCTGTCGTCTCCTCCGTGTAAGTATGTGTTCGTGTGTTTGTGTCTTTGGACGTGCCGTGTGCACACTAGAAAGTAGAAACTCTTGTAAATTTCACAACACGGTCTTTTTTCTGCCGGCTGTTGCTTTGAAACACAGAACCAGCAGCGTCTGCCGTTCATCAACCAAGCCCTGGCTGCGCAGCAAGCTGCTGCACCACCTGCTGTAACAGCAGCTGCCAGTGTTCCTGGCCTGGCTAGTTTGGTAGCTGGCTCACCGCTTCAACAAGCAGCATTGGATGCTCAACGTAAGTCAACATGAAATACTTTTTGAACACTCAAAATCCACCCCTAAACAGGGGGTGCGGCTTATACTCCGATGATCAAATTATTGGCCACAGGCCATCGTGAGAATAAAGATTTCAAAAACGGTGATAAATAGGGTAGATGTCTGTATTTCGTAGGAAACAAATGGGGGTGCGGCTTATACCCCGGAAATACCGTATATCGTTTCAAAGCCAGTGCATTCTGCAGGTGGTAAATCTTGATCCCGAAGGGAAGGCTCGCCGTGCTCCGCCGATAAGTGTGGTTTCTTGTTAGTCCGACACTGTTTGTGTAACGGAATTCTGCTTAGAGAGGGTGCTAGATTAACTATATTGTGTGTGTGTTGTTGTGTGGAGTGAATTAGGACATCTTGATTGCTGAAAATTGTGCTGGCTTATCGTGGCTACTGGCTTATAAAATGCTGGATTAACGAGTGACAGCCTTACTTCTGGTGCTCTTGGGTGTTGCAGAGGATAGGTTTGTTTAAAAATTGGTTCTTTCTGCTCTGTGTCTCGTTAGGCAAGAAAGCAGAGCTGCAGCAACGTGTACAAGCACAGGTATGTACTGGGGATTTCTTCTTCTTTCCACCTACGCATGCACGCGTGCGCTTCCACACCCACGCACAAGCACACACGCTCGCGCACACACACACACACACACACACACACACACACACACACACCTTGACCTTGACCTCAGCCTTTTGATTTTTATTTCTTTTATTTCGTTAGGAACCCAGAGGTAACGGAATACTGTTATAATCACTAACCTTATAAGGCTGGCACATGCATGCATTTTGCATGCAGCAGGCATATGTGCCACCTATCCTTTTTCAGTTTTATCAAATCATCCATTCAAATGTGATTCCCAGCCAAGTGTCCGTGATCTCTTCCAACGCTTTTTGCTGGCGAATATTTCGTCCTGTGGTATCTGTCCCTGCACTCATTTATCGTGCATTTCATGATGTGCGTTTGTGTGTGCACGCTTGCTTGCTCATGTGTGCGTGGGTGTGTGCATGGGTGTGTGCGTGGGTGTGTGCGTGGGTGCATGTGGGTATGTCTTCATCTTACCAGTTGGCAAATCAGCAAATCCGTGCATCGCTTGCTGCAAGTGGCCAGGCAGCACCAGGGGCACCAGGGGCAGCACCTAATGCCTCAGCTGAAAAGTGAGTATGCGTGGCGCTTGTGCTCATGTGTTCTATCTTTACTTCTCCTGTGTTCTCAATTTCACGCTCTCCTCTCTCTCTCTCTCTCTCTCTCTCTCTCTCTCTCTCTCTCTCTCTCTCTCTCTCTCTCTCTCTCTCTCTCTCTCTCTCTCTGTCTCTCTCTCTCTCTCTCCATTTGTTAAATGGATGGTGTCTGCGGAATTAGTTGGCAACAAACATACACTGCAATGCGCCAAATTGATCACATATTTCCTCTGCTTTTCTTCCTTTCTGTCTCTCCTGCAGGCCAATGCCACTGATTTTGGACTCTCAGGGTAGGACCATTGACGCGACAGGCAAAGCCGTTCAGTTAACAGCAGTACAGCCATCGATAAAGGTGAGTGCAAACGCACGCGTGCATGCAAACACACGCAGCGAGAAGCAGCCTCTTGCCGCTAGAAACCTGCATGGCTGCCACAGTCACTGATAACAGTATTGCAGTGAGCAAATTCGAATTGTAGAAACACATGGTTTTCCTGGCACAGGTGTGCGTTGTTGTCGTTCATGTACAGTCAAAACATGATAAGACGTACCCACAATGGAACACGGAAAAAGCACTTTCTGAACACGGAAAAAGTACTTTCTGAACACGGAAAAAGTACTTTCTGATGACTGTACTTACTACACCCACGCTGCAATCAAGTGTGCCAATGTTTCGTCAACTGCAAAAAGTATTGTACTGCACGGTAGTGCGTCTTACACCCTGTATGTCCTAGGCGGTATTGACTGTATCTCTTAAAATCAATTTGTCTTCTCTGATCCATCCGTAGGCAAACATCCGTGCCAAGCAACGCGAAAACTTCAAGATTGAGCGGCCGTCCACCGAAGACCTGATGGACAATAATCCGTACTACGATCCCCGAGTGTCGTAAGTCTGCTGTTTGTCTCTGCACTTTAGTCTAGCCATTTTCTGGTGCAGGGAAAGAATCTCTGGTTATTTCAAACTTAAGAGATGAGAAGGGAGAAAGAGCGTGTTACTGTAGCTAACACAGGATCCGGCGCATGAAATCAGTGGAGAAAGTGCCGGCATTCATGCCAAGTCCCCCGTCGGGCCAGTCTCGCGACCTGAGCTTGCATTTTCATAGCCACTTCAGCATACTGTCCTTTGGTCTACTTCACGGTGTTCCTACAATGTTGAGTGGTTTCCAGTGTTGCATGGTTTTCAATATGCCCCAGTAGTATGCACCAAATTAGGTGCACGCTCTCCTTATTCGCTATTGTCCCTGCTCTCGATCCAGATCCATTTGCTGCTGTTTTATCGTTTCTCCCCGTCACCCCACAGGATAAACAACTCCCAGCGCACCAAGCGCTCCTTCAAGTTCCACGACGCCGGCAAATTCCAGCAGCTGGCGCAGAAACTGCGTGCCAAGGTTGGTAAACATCTTGCTTACAGAGCAGAACCTCCCATATATTAACCTCCCTTAGCAGAAACCGCCCTTATATGGATGTCCTTTAGCAGAAACCTCACAACCAAAGACATCTCCGCATTTCTGCATTTCTTCCGTCACAAATATTCAGCCAAGTTGCTATTCAGCATTTAGAACACTTCCGTGTAACTTTCTGTACTTGCTGTGTGGTCATTCATTGTGCTGCAGAAACAACTCGAAAAGCTCCAGGAGTCCATCGCATCTGTCGCAAAGAAGACCGGTATATCATCAGCAACGAAGCTTGCCCTTATCACGCCGTCAACGGACGCAGTAAGCTCCTCTTGCGAGTGTTGAGTCTCGAGAAGTGTGTGCCTGTATTGATCTGTTTGTGCTTGTGCATTGTGTTTGAATTTCTTTATTCTCACGATGGCACCATCGCCAATACGAGTTGTTATTGTTGTGGTTGTTGTTGATGTTGTGTAGGAAACAGATCAGATTCCTGACGTTGAATGGTGGGACAAAGTGGTGATGCCAGTCAGTGAAGGGTATGCTACTTCATCTCTAGTGTAATGTGACATTCATTTGCTATCGAGTTTTGTGACATGCTAGAAGGAGAGTTGGACATGAGCCTGTGGACTCCCCCCCCCCCCCAACCTTCTTTCTACCCATCTTTCTCTGGTATGTCTCGTTGTTGGTATCTCTCTCCTTCTCTCACTCTCTCTCGCGCGCACACACACACTCACTCTCTCTGTCACTCTCTCTCTCTCACCCCACCCCATTATTTCTCCAGTCAGTATGGTTATGTGAGCACTCTGCTGCTTTCTGTCTCATGATTGTGTTGATCACACATATACACACACACGCACAGGTATGATGAGGTTGTGAAGTGTATCCAGCCGCTGGCCACTAGTGGACTGGCTACGTCATCATCGGGTGGTTCAAGCACTGAGGACGCCAGTGGCCAGCCATCGTACCGTAACATCACACAACTGGTGGAACACCCTGTACCCTTCTACACCAATGCGCAAAAGAAAGCAGCGCCTGTGCTGGCCGTGCAGCTCACCAAGCAGGTACTGCCGCAACTGTAGATAGCTTGTAAACATGTGCTCTTCTCTAGCTTCAGGGATGAATTTATCCAGTATCGCATCGCAGTTTGCTACTCAAAATCGATCTACTGCTACTCAAAAATCACAGCAACACGCAGAAAACTGCGATACATACATGTACAGGCTATCCATGTTTTTTGTAGCTTATGCCACAATTGAGATTTTGCATGGCAAAAACTGCTATGCAAAAACATGACAGTAAACTCATCCCTGAGCTTGTATTTGTATTTACATCTGTTGATTCTCCACACAGCTTAGCTTGAATCAAGGGTGTCTCCGTGTTCAATTGCATTCCAATGACTCTAGTACAGTCAACTTGGCTTATAACGACACTCGGCGGCGGGGCATCAGAAAAGTGTCCTTATTCGCGAAGTGTCGTTATACCCGAAGTCTCATTCTATGTGTCACAGTTGGATGGGACTTTGCTCTGGGCATGGAAATTCTGTCGTTATTCGCGAATTGTCGTTATATCCGCAGTCGTTATTAGCGAAGTTGACTGTACACCTTCCGGTATGTTTGTTTGTAGGAGCGAAAGAAGTTGCGTACTCAGAGGCGTCGTGAGGCAGAGAAGGAGAAACAGGAGAAAGTCAGTCTTGGTCTCATGCCACCGCCCCCACCCAAAGGTGAGTTACTTCACCAGCAACAGCAAGAGACATGCAAATAAATAATATTTTATATTGTAGACATTTTGTGCTGCGGACAGAGCTCTTATGCCCATGATGATTGTTCGTGCATTGTAGATTGCAACTTGTGTGTGTGTGTGTGCGTACGTACGTACGTGCGAGTGCACACATCTCTACTTCAGTATGTTGTTCTAGTGCTAGCCTGATCAACCAGTTTCTTCTTTCCCATGAATTATTATTCATTCATGAATCATGTGTTCATGCTGTGTGTTTTGCCCAGTGAAAATGTCCAACTTAATGCGTGTCCTGGGAAGTGAGGCCGTTCAAGATCCCACCAAAATGGAAGCATACGTACGAAGCGAAATGGCCAAGCGACAACGGTAAGCTTATCTGGAGAAGCCCAAGGACAAAACCATACCGGTATCCTTGTCTGGCTGTGAAGAGATGGTGCTACACTTGCTTTGCTTCACTGTCCACAACTGCCGGAACTGTTTATATGCGTGCCACTTCACGATAACTTACTTTGCGTGTAGCTGGTTTGTCTGAATATTGAAGATGAGGCCGTGCAATACCCCTTTAGAAATAAAGCTTGCTTTTAAAAATATGTCCTTGTTGCAGAGCTCACGAAAGTTCCAACGCTGCGCGCAAGCTCACACCCGACCAGCGCAAGGACAAAAAGCTGAAGAAACTCGACGAGGACGTGTCGTGCGGCGTGGACGTGCAAGTCTACAGGTGAGCATTGTCTACTAGCAGTGTGTGTGTGTGTGTGTGTGTGTGTGTGTGTGTGTGTGTGTGTGTGTGTTTGTGTGTGTGTGTGTGTGTGTGTGTGTGTGTGTGTGTGTGTGTGTGTGTGTGTGTGTGTGTGTGTGTGTGTGTGTGTGTGTGTGTGTGTGCATGCCGGAGTATGTGGTGTGATGTGTGTGTGGGAAAAAAATGAAAAAGACCAAAAAGTAGGGATTCACTGGCCAGAAAAAGCCACTTCATAGCTGTGTGGTGTAGACCAGGCTGAATAGTGGCGGTCAATTCTTCAGCCTTGCAATCTGTTGAATGGTGCAATCCCAGCACAAGCTGCTATGGCTTCTGCTGTAGCATCGCTATCATCGCCTCCGGCGATGGGCGTCCAATGGTCCTATGGTGTGTGTGTGTGTGTGTGTGTGTGTGTGTGTGTGTGTGTGTGTGTGTGTGTGTGTGTGTGTGTGTGTGACTGCATTGTGTCAGGCGTAGAATTACCCATCTTGTTGGATATTCAACGTGTTCGGTTACCTGGCGACCGGATAGGTGGCCTCTGACTGTACAAGTTCATCCATTGTGATTGCGGTATTCCTGCACGGTTCATTGCATATGCTGCACTGTGTGTTTTGTCGTGTTACTTGCCATTGTATAGAGTGACGGACTTGACGGACCCGAAGGTACGCTACAAAGTCGACATCAACGCACAGCAACTGCACCTGACCGGCTGTATTGTGCAGAGCAAGGACCTCAATCTGGTTGTCGTTGAAGGCGGTGAGTGATGTTCACCTACGTACATCGTCTGCTAATAGAATAGGAGTTTCTGTGCAACCCCCACTCGCATTCCTGGTTCCAGCGCGCATGCCTTTTCATCCCCGGGGGCGAGAGTACGGTTTCACCCGACTGGCACGGCTTGACAATCATCGCACAGCAATACAATCATGTACAGCGGAACCTGTCTCAGCCTACCGCCCAAGGGACCGTCCGAATGTGGCCTCCGTGTACAGGTGGTCGCCTAATCCCAGGATCATTTGACTGGAAATAACTCTCTTGGTCCTAGGTGCAGTGGTCCTCTAGGACAGGTGGTCACCTTGACAGGTTCTACTGTACACGTATGCTGATGCTCGAGTTAGTTTGTGTTCTACAGTGCAAACCAAGTTGAACTTCGGTAGGGTTGAGCTTCCAAGAAAGTATGCCGTCAACTCATTGTATACTTTCCAGCCTTATCGTCTTATCGCCTTTATGTTCCTGAAGTGTGTCCTTCTTCTTAGTATGATCCAGGGAGTCGTAAAATACCGGTATTTTACGACTCCCTGGTATGATCACATTCTTGTCTCCGAGGAAACTGTTCAACTCATTGTGCTCGTGTGCTCACCCCACTGCATGCCCACAGGACCGAAATCGCTGAAGAAGTACAAGCGTCTGATGATGAATCGCATCAACTGGGACGAGGCGCGGCGTAACATGGACAAGAACCTGCGCAGCGACAACTCCGACCAGCCCAACCAGTGCTCAGTCGTCTGGGAGGTAAGTCCTTGTGTTGCAAGAGATCCACGAGCGGGATTCGAACCCAGCACACCTGTCTTTCCGCGACAGTGCCCTACCGATTAGGCGACCAGGGATCACACACACCCGTGGCTCCTTCTTGCTACTTTTTTCGTCACTGGTTGCTATGGCAATGGTGCACGAGCGTTCCGCGAGCGTGAATTGTAAAACACAGCGGTTTTGAACTCTATGTGATAGTCAAGTCGGCGGAAAAGCACGAGCTCCGGTGTAGGGAGCAACCACCTTGGCTTTGAACTTTCCTAACTGTATGATGCTGCCCGTTTTACTGCCTAAGTTAGCTCTACTCGGACTACTCGCAATGAACTGGGCTTGATTTCATTTGTTTGTTTGTTTTGGAAATAAGGAACCTCGTGTGTGCTGTCTTTGTAACTTGTGCATACATTCCGGTTTCTTTTTCTTTTTTTCAGGGTATGGTTGAAGCGCGGAACTTTGTGGATTGGAAGTGCAAGCAGTTCCCAGTAGACTCAGGTGCGCGAGAGTTCCTGAAGAAGTTCAACGTCCACCACTACTGGGACCTTGCTCTCAGTTCATCCATCATTGAGGGCACGGAGGATTGAGGCTTCACACGTGCTGTGTTTTGTTTCAGCAAATTACCTTTTACAACTTCAGCATGGCGATGAGTCACCAATGTGTGAAGTCGACATTAAGCAGTATTGCTGGTAAATCTGCTTGTCGCAAGATTTTGTTGCTTGTTTTTCTTGATTTTTCGGCGCTGTCCCGTTCGCCAATGCTTCAATCCTCAAGTTCATTTGTAGCATTATAATTTGTACAAAGTACTTTTCAGTATTGACCAGGATCTTTTAGTGTTCTCTTTGCTGTTCAAATTGGATTATTTCGCCTTATCTAACCATGCTTGTTCTCGTTTGAAGGTGGCTGTTGCAGATTTTAACATCATCATTGTCCACTCACTGCTGCTACCTGTCTTCTGCTGCTGCTGTGCCATTTGTTGCTTTTTGGTGATGGTTTGTATGTCTTTCTCTGTTGCCAGTTTTTCCAGTACATTTTCTTGACAGGACTGGCGGAATAGGTTTTTTCATTGTTCTGGCCATATCAAAAAATGTCATAACCTTTCGTGCTTTGTGTGTGATATGGTGGGTAAGCATGACCTCTTCAGCAGTAAACACAACATTGGTGGCAACACAGTTGGTCCAGCAGCCGTGGCCGCACTAAGAATACTTCAAAAAGTAAAAAAAATAGAAATGAGAACCCATAAATTTCGGGCAGATTAAAATGGCTCAACATGATTTGAAAATTGACATACCGGTACATAAACACTAATAAACACGGTCACCCGGGGATCTAACTTCTCGGCACGCACTGCACCACATCGCTGCATCACTACACACATCACTACACACAACTGCACAGGCAAAGAGGAAAGCAGAGCAGCACCATCGCGATCAATAGTACGAAGCAAACGCCGTGCCAGAGATCAGCTGCTCCACTGTGGGCTCGTTGTAATCTGTAGTTGTCCAGTAGCTGGGTGGAATGTGACCCTCCGGAACTTTGAATCTGCCGCCTCGTTTCATGGCCTCCTGCAACATCCATCAAACAGCAAGGCACCAGAACATGGTTAAAGTGCACACTGCAATGCAAACATGGTCTTGCACAACAGGACAACAGGAGCTACAGTGTTGCTCAATGAGATGCGATCAAGCCAGTCAGTGCCACGCCGGGCGCCGTGCAGCCCTCGTAGACCTGAGAACACTGGGATGGTGAACTGGTGCAGGGCGCAAACTGGATTCACGCGATCGGATCTCACTCAGCAGCACTGTACATGCTTGCAAATCACAGTGCAGGACATGTACCAGTACGCGGAAACTGCAGTTGCTTGCAATTCGCAGTGTACAAATACCGCAGTGTCTTGTATAAAAGCCTGTCTCATATAAGCCTGTTTCGAATACCAGCCTGATTTTTAGAGATGCACTGTCGGCACATAAGCCTGGTTTTAGTGTTGACATACATAGAAATACCTGTCTTGTATAGGAGCCTGTCTCATATAGAAGCCTGCAAAATTCCCCCCAAAGAAGGCATATATAAGTCGCGGCTTTTATACACGACTATACGATATACATGTACGGGCTATGACAATGAGAATATGACACAAGGACGTGGAGGACACACTGTATTATAGGAAACCGTGTGCTCTGTCAGCTAGCCTGTCATTCTCATATCTGGTAAACAATCAAGCAAGGCGCACATATACCATACAGATACGCCTTGCGTTTGTTGAAAACATGTTGTTGGTTGACAGCATGTTACCAGGCTGAGCCTGGTATAATGAGGGTCAGAACCAGGGCTAACACCCAAACGGTTCAAATGGTCGCAAGACCGGGGCTCTGTCAACCGTGGATGGTTGTAGTAAGGGTCACTAACTGTTTCCAAACACAGTGCGTCCTCCGCCTTGTAAACATGCTGTCAACCAACAACATATACAGTCGTCCCTCTTTAATCCAGCACTTCATAAACCAGCACCCTCGATAAACCAGCACAATTTTCAGTAGCCAAAATGTCCTCTTCATGCACATTGTAGCAGTAAATCCGATTTGTTAATCCAGCACCCTCCCTAATCCAGCAGAAGGGTATGCAGTTGCCTGCAACTGCAGGCAACTCTCCCTTCAGTGCAGCCTCTATTGAATCAATCAAGTCAGAGTGCAGAAGATCCTGTACCAATGAACAACATACACAGTAACAATCTGTCAGGCCACTAGCACTAGCGCATAGTTGTAGTTGCCTGCAGTGTACAGTGTGTAGCGGAAGCTAGGACTTCACTGACCTGGAGCATTTGCCGAAGTCGCTCCAAAGGGCCTTGATCGTCTTTTTGTGTCACCTCCTCTATCCTGAGAGCAGAAAGAGGGATAGTTACAAGGCAAGGAGCAGAACAAAAACATCACGATTCGCGTGAGACTCGGCTGGAGGCCGGCGAGCTTTCCACATCCGTAGGAACACCACCACCCTCAAGGATCAAGGAGCAGAATAAGCACGCGTGAAAGCAACAGACAAAGGCCCGGCCCGTAGGTCAAGACAGGCACACAGCATGTTGAGTATCTAGCACGAAGGAAGGTAGCACCACTACACCACAGGATTTTACGGCCATAACAAATTACTGCTCTATGACAAAAAGATAATACCAACGTTACTCCGTCGGCGACATACATCCATGCTTTGTAGTTTAGTGGCGACATGCATCCATGCTTTGTAGCTTAGTGGCGACATGCATCCATGCTTTGTAGTTTAGTGGCGACATGCATCCATGCTTTGTAGTTTAGTGGCGACATGCATCCATGCTTTGTAGTTTAGTGGCGACATGCATCCATGCTTTGTAGTTTAGTGGCGACATGCATCCATGCTTTGTAGTTTAGTGGCGACATGCATCCATGCTTTGTAGTTTAGTGGCGACATGCATCCATGCTTTGTAGTTTAGTGGCGACATGCATCCATGCTTTGTAGTTTAGTGGCGACATGCATCCATGCTTTGTAGTTTAGTGGCGACATGCATCCATGCTTTGTAGTTTAGTGGCGACATGCATCCATGCTTTGTAGTTTAGTGGCGACATGCATCCATGCTTTGTAGTTTAGTGGCGACATGCATCCATGCTTTGTAGTTTAGTGGCGACATGCATCCATGCTTTGTAGTTTAGTGGCGACATGCATCCATGCTTTGTAGTTTAGTGGCGACATGCATCCATGCTTTGTAGTTTAGTGGCGACATGCATCCATGCTTTGTAGTTTAGTGGCGACATGCATCCATGCTTTGTAGTTTGTACTTGTGCCAAAGCTGGCTATGTCCCGTTATCGCAGGAGTTCAACCAAAGAAAGAATTGCCACCACAGTGCTAAGAGCCTAATATCCATGTTGTTCACTTCATTCAACTCCAGGCCAAACACCAAATCAAACGCACTCACCCCAGCTGAGCTGCTACCTAACCTAGCACGCACTATAAGAGCCATTCGCTTTGCCAGACACGAGAAGCTCACCTTTTCAGTAACCCTCCGCTCATCAGCTGCAGGAGGCGATCGAATTGTGCGCGAAACGTGTCCTTCATGGCATGACCAGCAATCTAGCAGAGAACAGAACGCACATTGAAGACAACACGGGATCATGTGTTTACTACGGAAACAAGTCACACCTTAGTTGCCTGATGAATGCCCATGGGCATGAAACTATCAGTTACAACGAATGCATGTGCATGACCGTGCACAGGCCAGGGACACAGACAAGGGACACAGGCAAGGGACACAGACAAGGGACACAGGCTAGGGACACAGACAAGGGACACAGGCTAGGGACACAGACAAGGGACACAGGCTAGGGACACAGGCTAGGGACACAGACAAGGGACACAGGCTAGGGACACAGGCAAGGGACACAGGCTAGGGACACAGACAAGGGACACAGGCAAGGGACACAGACAAGGGACACAGGCTAGGGACACAGACAAGGGACACAGGCTAGGGACACAGACAAGGGACACAGGCTAGGGACACAGGCTAGGGACACAGACAAGGGACACAGGCTAGGGACACAGGCAAGGGACACAGGCTAGGGACACAGACAAGGGACACAGGCTAGGGACACAGGCTAGGGACACAGGCTAGGGACACAGACAAGGGACACAGGCTAGGGACACAGACAAGGGACACAGGCTAGGGACACAGGCTAGGGACACAGGCTAGGGACACAGGCTAGGGACACAGGCTAGGGACACAGACAAGGGACACAGACAAGGGACACAGGCAAGGGACACAGGCAAGGGACACAGGCTAGGGACACAGACAAGGGACACAGGCAAGGGACACAGACAAGGGACACAGGCTAGGGACACAGACAAGGGACACAGGCTAGGGACACAGACAAGGGACACAGGCTAGGGACACAGGCTAGGGACACAGGCAAGGGACACAGGCAAGGGACACAGGCTAGGGACACAGGCTAGGGACACAGACAAGGGACACAGGCTAGGGACACAGACAAGGGACACAGGCTAGGGACACAGACAAGGGACACAGGCTAGGGACACAGGCAAGGGACACAGGCTAGGGACACAGACAAGGGACACAGGCTAGGGACACAGGCTAGGGACACAGGCTAGGGACACAGGCTAGGGACACAGGCTAGGGACACAGGCTAGGGACACAGGCTAGGGACACAGGCTAGGGACACAGGCTAGGGACACAGGCTAGGGACACAGGCTAGGGACACAGGCTAGGGACACAGACAAGGGACACAGGCTAGGGACACAGGCTAGGGACACAGGCTAGGGACACAGGCTAGGGACACAGACAAGGGACACAGGCTAGGGACACAGGCTAGGGACACAGGCTAGGGACACAGGCAAGGGACACAGGCTAGGGACACAGGCTAGGGACACAGGCAAGGGCCACAGGCTAGGGACACAGGCTAGGGACACAGGCTAGGGACACAGGCTAGGGACACAGGCAAGGGACACAGGCAAGGGACACAGGCTAGGGGCACAGGCTAGGGACACAGACAAGGGACACAGGCTAGGGACACAGGCTAGGGACACAGGCTAGGGACACAGGCTAGGGACACAGACAAGGGACACAGGCAAGGGACACAGGCTAGGGACACAGGCTAGGGACACAGGCTAGGGACACAGGCAAGGGACACAGGCTAGGGGCACAGACAAGGGACACAGGCTAGGGACACAGGCTAGGGACACAGGCTAGGGACACAGGCTAGGGACACAGGCAAGGGACACAGGCTAGGGACACAGGCTAGGGACACAGGCTAGGGACACAGGCTAGGGACACAGGCAAGGGACACAGGCAAGGGACACGGGCTAGGGACACAGGCTAGGGACACAGGCTAGGGACACAGGCTAGGGACACAGACAAGGGACACAGGCAAGGGACACAGGCAAGGGACACAGGCAAGGGACACAGGCAAGGGACACAGGCTAGGGACACAGGCTAGGGACACAGGCTAGGGACACAGGCTAGGGACACAGGCTAGGGACACAGGCTAGGGACACAGGCTAGGGACACAGACAAGGGACACAGGCTAGGGACACAGGCTAGGGACACAGGCTAGGGACACAGACAAGGGACACAGGCTAGGGACACAGGCTAGGGACACAGGCCAGGGACACAGGCTAGGGACACAGACAAGGGACACAGGCTAGGGACACAGGCAAGGGACACAGGCTAGGGACACAGACAAGGGACACAGGCTAGGGACACAGGCTAGGGACACAGGCTAGGGACACAGGCTAGGGACACAGGCTAGGGACACAGGCTAGGGACACAGACAAGGGACACAGGCAAGGGACACAGGCAAGGGACACAGGCTAGGGACACAGGCTAGGGACACAGGCTAGGGGCACAGGCTAGGGACACAGACAAGAGACACAGGCTAGGGACACAGGCTAGGGACACAGGCTAGGGACACAGGCTAGGGACACAGGCTAGGGACACAGGCAAGGGACACAGGCTAGGGACACAGGCAAGGGACACAGGCTAGGGACACAGGCAAGGGACACAGGCAAGGGACACAGGCTAGGGACACAGGCAAGGGACACAGGCTAGGGACACAGGCAAGGGACACAGGCAAGGGACACAGGCTAGGGACACAGGCTAGGGACACAGGCTAGGGACACAGGCAAGGGACACAGGCTAGGGACACAGGCTAGGGACACAGGCTAGGGACACAGGCTAGGGACACAGGCAAGGGACACAGGCAAGGGACACAGGCTAGGGACACAGGCTAGGGACACAGGCAAGGGACACAGACAAGGGACACAGACAAGGGACACAGGCTAGGGACACAGACTAGGGACACAGACAAGGGACACAGACAAGGGACACAGGCTAGGGACACAGACAAGGGACACAGGCAAGGGACACAGGCTAAAGACACAAAACTAACCTCCAGCAGAGCACCGACAGCGGTGGCGGTTACGGTCGGTCGCGCTTTCAGGTTCATAGTACGTGCTAGCCATACCCAGGCATGACCAACGCCGTGTGGATTCTGTTGATGGCAGTAGTCATGACCAGCAGTGCAGAAACAACACAACACACAGGGGAGAAGACAAAGTTACAAGTGTGCAAAGCTATGAACATGTGAGTTCACTAGGGTCCTGTGCCAGATATACATGCCGTGCGGTTGTGTGTATGCGTGGGGGGGGGGGGGGGGGGCAGTGGTCAAGGCCTATTTGTTTCATCAGAGGATTGAATAGGTGGAAACATGAACGCGCAGATCTTACTTTTTACGGACTACTTTAGAGGACAGAAAGAAAGGATCCACTCTTGAAAAATACACGACAACCACTCTGAATGCCTCTACATGGTATTTAGTTGCCTAAATCCATTAGGGAGAGAGATACATCTCTCTAGCTATACCCCCCACCCACCCACACATACACCCGCACACCAGCAGACGGCAGCCTCCGTCGTTCTCACCTGGGCAATGCCGTGCGGAGGTGTTGCCTGCATGATGGACGCGTACAGGCGCATGAAACCCATCATGCGTGTCGAGAACTGGTCGTTCGTCTCTGGCTTGCCGGCCTTCAGGCGGAATCCAAGTGACCTGCACAGATAACAACAGCAGCGGCGACAAGCGACATGAAACCAGTGTTGTTTTCTAAATGAGAAGCACACACACACATGGCAATACAAAGTACAGTGCCGCTCAATGAAATACAGTTGAGTCACTCAAGTACGTGCCGGGCGTTGCGCAGCCCTAGACCCATGAACACTGGGCTGCGAAATGGTGCAAAGCGCAAACTAATTACTTGACTCAAGCTACCGGATTCAGTCCAGAGGGGAAACCAGATCTGCAGCAGTTTTCACTACACTGTTCAATCCATGCCACAAAGGATCCTCAAAATAGAGAATCAAGCCTACATCCTACTGGACAGGGCTCTCATTGCATTCTGGTTAGGCTGGAGAGTGCCCCCCCCCCCCCCCCGGACAGTGACTGTCCTGGCATGTGCCAAGCGAAACAAAATGACCTCAGCTACAAGCTTTGACAAACTAGTATACCCAGCAGCAGCAGCACACCCAGCAGTACTAGTAGTGACTAGTCCCTTTTCATGCTTTCCAAGTACCGTAAAGTACCGCCAGAGCGCCCCGTCTCGCGAGAGCGCCTCGCCTTTATTTTACAGCCAGAGAAAGGAAAATCGTATGGCAGAGTGCAACGAAGTTTGTACGATGTAAGAATCTTAGTGTACTAAGGTCACACTTGGTAGGTTTTGTGTGGAGCTTGTGTCCGCTCGAAGGTACGGATTGACTGCAAAACGTGCTATATGTGTACAAGGTTCATGTCGTATGACCTACAGACAGCAGACCACCTCCACAATACGACCACGAAAGGATGAGATGGTGGGGCGCTCTGGCGGTACTTAACGGTACATGTACTAGCACATACTACTACTACTACTGCCACAGTGAATACTGATGAACAGGTATGGATCACCTGTACTGCAAAACAGTTCACAAAAGCTCTATACCCAGCGGCTTACCTCAGATGTTCGTTCTCGGTCTGCCCTTGCAGTCGCGGCGGATAGAACGGCACGGCAACGGGGCATGCACGATACAGGTGAGCAATGAGCAGATCACCAAACAGAGCGTCCTTGTCCCACACGCCGATGACTACGGCGGCGAACGGAAACGCGGACTCAGCGTGCGATGCAATCTGCTTCTCGCCTTGCATCTGCCAGAGAAGCATGAAATGAATTCACACAAGAGTACACGCACAAGCGGTATCAGTCGGGTAGCTTAGAATAGAGTGCAGAGCAGCGCACAGACTACAGACAAAAACAAACACACGTGTGCGTACGCGCACGCACGTGCACACACATGACAGCAGACAGTCGTGCAAATGAACAAACATAGATAATATTTCTTCACGGCACCACTCACTCGCGCGCACAAACACACACACACACACACACACACACACACACACACACACGCACACACACACACATGCACACGCGCACACACACACACACACCTGTCCTGTCCTGTCCTGTAGAGTCACTGCCGCAAAAGGGTCACGTGATCCCATCACTGGGAAACTTGAGAAGAGAGAGAGAGAGGACACGACGCTCGATGACGCTCCAGGTGCACGGGTAGTCGCATCCGCTTGCCGCATATGCACACGTGCTGGAAGGCTGAGCGCTCCGCTGCTGTTGGTCTATGAGCCACCCTTGAACAGCGATGCCTTCCCCGTCCCCGGACACCGCGAAAGCAGCGACCACACCTGTCACAATGCGCGGCACAACATCCCTCCGCCGGTGCCGACGCTCCGGTAGTTCCAGGTGGCACTGCGGCATCCACCGTTGAGGCACACACATGCCGGACCAAGCCACCGCGGCTTCTCAGCCACCGCCCACACCGCCCGCACTGACTGGCGCCCCGCTGCTCAGACACAGGCCGCGCACGCTCCTCCAGACACTTATGCCGAGCCATGTCTCCTTTCCGTGCAAAATCCCGTCCGCATACCGTACATACCACTCGGGGCGGAGGCTCAGGCACATTGTCAGGCTCTTGGTAGGTGCTGCGCCACTCCGCGCGAGACTCACATGCAACATCATACCATGATGCCTCCACACCACGGGCACGTAGATCTCGGACAGCACAGTCCTTCCATCTGCGGCGTGGGCCATGTGCTGACACACACACACACACACACACACACACACACACACATGACTTACCACAATATGCTGGGCCAGTACGTTAGTACTGAAGAGCTTGGCATCCGGGTGCTGGTTCGCGGCCACTTCCTTGGTGCCGACGTTCACCTTCTTGCCAGTGAGGATGTTGAGCATTCGCTTGATCTTGTCCTGCATGTGCTGTGCTGACTGCGACGACACTGTGTTTACTGTTGTGATGATCACACGCGACAGCAGGTCACGGTACGGCTTTTGCTGATGGACCGAAAGAGCATGGCAGAAGACGAGAGTAGAACAGGAGCTATCAGACCTTCACTCATACCCACAACAAGCTTTTGTACCTATTGCTGATGGAGAGGCAGCACAAGAGTAAACAAGCGTTTCGGAGACAGCAGCTTTAATATATAGCTACACGGAGGACCCCCCCCCCCCCCCCTCTCTGCATAGAGGTTACATAACTCGCATCCTTTTTGGCGCTGCACTCTGCGTATATAAACTGCTCCTGTGTGGCTTCCACTGGATTCATTGTTCTCATTACCTGATGTTGGCCAAGTGCCGAAACGTTGTAAAATAACGGAACTGGTTCGGATGTGCAGCGCTATGGGGAAATGTCTCATTTCTTGTTGGATGAGAGCAACGAAGTAAACAAGAAACGCTGTTCTTTTCGAAACGCGAGTGCACAGTCCAGAGTTCACGGACTGTGCTGGGAGTGCGGTATGCACTGGATGCACAGTGCGGAGTTGCAGCATGCACATAAAGGTGCATGCTGGTCTGAAGACAGTGTTCTTTTTGTTCTTGCACTGCTGCTGTACAGTTGCAAATCCCACCCACCCACCCAACTGGATATTCATTGCTAGATATGTGTTGGACTCTGACAGCAGTCACGTCCCACATAGCAGTCACGGTCCCCAAAGTCAGTCATACAGTCAAAATCACTCACACACCAGTCACACTTTGAGTCTTTTGAGAAACCAGTTGTGGTGCCCACAAACCAGTCAGAGAATGCCGTGACTTACCCTCTTTGCGATCACGCGTGCACAGAGTCAGCATACAGGCATGTATGACGTGCAAGTAGTACTGCTTTATGTACTAGTCGCGTGACAAAGGGCGGGAAGCAACAACAGTGCATGTATGTTAATTTACATGTAGATGTACGTACCACAAATATTACACAGCAATGAATCAAACAAGTCTCATTCCGCTGTTACTCCGAGTTTCGTGTCAGAAGACTTCACTGACACGAAACTCGGAGTAACAGCGGAATGAGACTTGTTTGATTCATTGCTGTGTAATATTTGTATTACTTGCTCTGTCCAGTGGACATTGAGCACTGTAAGCAGCCTAGGGACTTTAGACAACTGTCTAGATGTACGTACTATGTAGACGTATGTGTACAGTATTGCCTTTCGGAGTTTGCCTTCTTCAAGTTCTTGTCGGTTTTTTTGACAAGTAGAAGTTGGTATTGAAAGAGCTGCCTGCCATGAAGGTGCTGCTTCAATGGCAGAAGAAGACAGTCCGATGGAGGGCATCCGAATTGGAATGAAATCGGTGGCAAGCGTGCGAGCACCTCCGAAAACTAAGGATCAGAATCCAGATAAATTTTGGAGCAGGTACGAGGAAACCAGCGCTGCTTGCCAAACGAAGGCCGCCAATCCAAAATGGGGAAAGAGAAAGATAGCAGAGCACGTCTGTAAGGAGTTGAAGCTGACGGTCACAGAATCTCAAGTTCAGCGTTATGTGGAAACGTTCCTGTTCGACTCAGACCACAATGCTCTCTTCTACTTTGAAGTACAAGTCGACGCAGCTGAACGAAGCCCACCGTAGATGCGTGACTCGTATATATGTTGAAACGGATTATCTGTATGCCGATATGTCAGACAAGACAACAGCCTATGACACATCCAACATGCCATCATCTGTACAGCATAGATAACAAGAAGGTGGTAGGGAAGTTCAAGGACGAACTCCGCGGTAATCCCATCAAGGAGTTCATCGGTTTGCGGAGCAAGATGTACGCATGCCGCTGTGGAGACGACGACGACAATGGCAAGCGTGCCAAAGGTGTGCAGAGAAGCGTGTTGAAAAACACCATATAACCGTCGATGACTATCGAACATGTCTCGTTGAGGAGTCTCAGCCGAAGAGAACAATGAGTGTCCTTCGAAGTCGAGAGCATCACATTCACGGAGAGGAGCGACAGAAGACTGTGGATTCGAGAGCAAACCCTACCTTCCGCAGGGTGGTATCTCCACACTAGCATTTGGACACAAGGATATTCCAAAGCACTGACTGAACGGAATAGAATTTCCACACGTATGAGAGTATATACCATATCTTCTCATGAAATACATTGATGAAACTACTACTTCGGAGTATGAGATTCATAATATTCACGTTAATCAAAAGCATGACCTACATATGAAGTTATAATTTTTTGAGATCATTCACATCCTTCTTTGTTAAATTCATGTTTACCACAATACCCCATTTTTGGGGGCAGGGCGCCCCCTGCGCCAGAACCCGCTCATTGCCTGCTAGCACTTATAATTATAAGAGTTCAGTAGCACCCATGCGTACGCACACACGTCTGCACCGAAGCACACATCGATTGATACTCACTGCATTGTCGGCCTTGAAAGCGGCCAGCTTGTCTTCGGTTGAGCTGAGCAGGTTGGTCAGCTCCATGTAACGCTTGCATGACGACGGAGTGAGAGCACCCCGCCAGATCTCTGCAGCACACAATCAGCACCAGCCAGCAGAACAAGCACACAATCAGCACCAGCCAGCAGAACAAGCACACAATCAGCAAAGACAGAACAAGTACACAATCAGCAAAGACAGAACAGGTCAGGCTACTAGCACCCGCAGCGCACTCACACACACGGAAGAGACTACGCAAAGATCAACTGCACCAATGCACTATGTCAACTTTGTCAAGTACAGTCGTGGCCAAAGAAATCTGACCCGCGAGTCTAAAGTAGCGGCGCGTTTCCATTTCAATTACATCATGCATGTTCCCAAAACTGATCCGAGGGCCGCATGTGAGCCCTGGCTCTGCTTTCGGCACGTGGGTTGGATTTCTTTGGCCACAACCGTAGCAGACCATTGTGAACACTGCATAGCAACGCTTCCAATGAAGCCTTAATCAGAGACTGACCTGGCACCTTGATTTCCTTAGCAGCTGACGTTTCAGCTACGGTCTTCACCGGCGATGGTGTTTTGGTGGCGGCCGGGCTAGTTACGGTGTCGGACTTTGTGGCTGCCGCTGGGCTAGCCTGCTGTTGCTGCTGCTGTTGCTGTTGTTGCTGTTGCTGCTGCTGACTTGCCTGAGTATAGACAATTACACGGAAAGAACCAAAGGCCAAGCACAAAAAAACCGTTACAGCACAACCCGATGGACAATCGCTTTCAACTCTCCTTCAACAACTTCTCTGGTTGCACCCTCTGGATTGGCTTTAGACAGACTCCAGGCTCGACACATATCAACGTGTAGCCTCATCAGGAATTTCTACAATTCCGATTTGAATCTGTAGGCCACAACGTGTAGTTACTAGTTAGCAGTTACCATGACCATAGCATGAACACTGAAGTGTGCTTGCGTGAATTTCTCAATGAAAGCTCAGCTCTACTTTCTGCACTAAATTCAACACATGGATGAGGCCGGTCACTGCCAGTCTACACCAAAGCAACTCTAGCGCGTGAAGCTACAGCGCGCACCCATCCACACCTACACATACACACCCACCCACACACCCACCCACACACACACACAGAGTATTACACACATTCATACAGAACATTGCTACTGTAACAGGATTGGCCATTCACTGCTCGCTGCCACCAATTTTAAAGTGTCAGTAGAGATACGGCAAGAAAAGAGTTGCTCACGTACAGCTGCCAGTTCCTCTTCGCGCTTCCTTGCCGCATCCACAGCCTACAGCAGTAACACACACACACACACACACACACACACACACACACACACACACACACACACACGCACACACACGCACACACACACGCACACACACACACCGAATAACGTTATTTCTTCTCTTTTTTTAACGCTAGACCCAACCTACACGCCCAAGCATACGTCGTGCTAGTATTGGACACAGTGTATATACATCGTGGTGTTCTTGAAAGCGGCAAAGTGAGAGGTTCGAAAGAGAAAGTCACTTCCTGATCGGATCCTGAATCAGCAGGTACGACAATGCTATTAATACCGTGGAAGCTATGGCATATACCTAAGTTGACTAAAGCACGGCAAGGTACAATTTTTTATCGGTTCTTATACATGTACTAGATTTTGGAAATTATTTTATTCCGCTTGGTAAATGGTTTTGACAATTTACGATCACAATTTGCGGTTTTCCGAATAAAGCTTCGAGTGATAAATGTTGACTAAAGCATGGCTGTATTGCAAGCTACAGTGGCCACTGTGAAGTGGGAAACGTTACTTGTGTCGCAATCAACCCACGTCTGCTAATACTTGCATACATCACCACAAACCGCCCTTCGCTTTGATTGTAGACACACAATCCCAATCAAAAATAGAAAACAGAGAATTTCCCATTGCGAACCAGTGCGATTCTTGAAAAGAAAATATTTACACGCTGCTAACGCTTACCCATTACAGCAAGCAGGAGCATAATTCCCAGGAATAGGCTAGAAGTGACCCAGTGTTGCCACATCATTCTAGCCAAATATCAGTAGCATGAAAAAATTAAATGCATCATCCGGGGGCTGTGCCCCCGGACCCCCCCCCCCCCCTCCCCTATATAGCGACCTCGATGCACACACATGCGGCAGTAATAAGAAAAAAACATTTCACGGTTTTGCATGACACTCAGGCTGAGTTAGCCGATTTTTCCCCGAGACGGATGATGATTTCGCTTAGCACCTCAGGAGAGAGCTATGGAAACACTCGTGATGCGCAGTAAAAGTCAAAAATCTGGATCATGACTCCTAAACCATGCATAAGGTCAAACTTGAACACTTTCATGGCTGTTGTCGGTAGGAGAAGGTCAATTGTCGGCAGGTCGTGACATGCCTCATAAATCGGCAGGCCATGTCGGCAGGTGTGGCAACACAGGAAGTCATACCTGCTTAGCAACAGCGACCAGGCGCTCCAGTTCTGTCCTCAAGTCGGCCTGAGAGGGGAGCTGGATACAGGAGATACAACACAGGGCAACAGTATAGCATACATACAATACACACACTCACACGCACGCACACACACGCACATACACACACACACACGCATGTACGCACACACACGCACAGAGTTAACATTGAACACACTGAACGGGTAAAATGACGCCATCTGACACTGCCCAATGCTCTCGTAGTCCAGATTTACACCAGGTAAGTAGGACATCGAGCAAACATGTCCTGGTGCCGTTTACGCTTTGATCTAGGTCTAGGAGCTGCATCTACGCCTAGATCCTTGCGAGGGGTGGCGTTACTAGAACTTACTACAGATGCGGAACAGCAAATCTGACTGAGTCTCACACGAAACGTGAGATTTATTTTATTCCATTTTATGTGAAGAACATGGCGACAAAGCGGCGAGGTAAGAGCAGCACGTGCTCCTCACAGGATAAACGTCACAAGCAGGCATGCACTTGAATCATGAGCTGAGTAACACAGGTACTAAATCGCGGCGTCCCTCCAGGTCGGGGGAACAAGTTGCAAGCTAGAAACATGGCTAAGAAATCCAAGAACACGTCACAGCACTGACCTTTTTCAGCTCGACGTCATCGTTGATGAGTGGCGCCTGCGCTATCCGGTGTGCGGCAGTCTGCGTGCGCTTCACCTTGTCCAGAAACTGTTGCGTGTCCGGCTGTGGCATGTGCACATTCGCGCTCTGGCTGACCAGTATTTTCTCGACATTGGTAGAGAGCATGACTAGCATGGCCGCTTCCTTTGCAATCAAAGTCTTACGCCGTGCCTCTTCCTCAGCCCTGCGAACAGCACAAGTGAAGGGAGTAACATGAAAACCTCACTACTCCGTGTTCTCAGTACATGTATTAGCTCATCTGACATCGCCCAGTGCTGCTTCCGTAGCACCCACCCACACCCACACCTACACCTACACACCTGCACCCCCCCCCCCCCCCCACACCACACACACACGGTCTTTCACGCCTCACCTTTTCTGCTCCTCTAGCAGACGTTTCTCCTGCTCTTCCGCATGAAGACGCTCACGCTCAAGAACCTGAGCAGAACAAGGAGAAAGAAAAGAAGCACGTGCCGTTCCAGAGTAAGCCACGCCCAGATTATTTGCCACGAAATACAGATACGTGTGTATCTACCTGGCTTATCACCGTTAAGTTGACCATCGTAGTATAATCCGCACCACTGACAATATTTTGGGTGAATTCGTGGTGTTTAAAGTGCGGCTTATACCCTGGACAATACGGTACTTGGAAGGCACAGCATGAAAGATGTGCCCTACTAGTCAGATCAATGTAGGGGCTTGTCTGCTTCTCCTACATAGTACATAAAGCAATGTGTGAGACAGCGGTAGTGGATAGCTAGTGTCCATACCCGACCAGACCAGAACAAACAAACAAAGATCAACACCGAAGAGCAGTAGCACAAGGTTCGCACGGAGTACAAGGAAGCGCCTGCTGCTGCTGCTGCACTCTCTCCGGTGAGACACGCATAGCTGCAGTACTGATACAAATACAGTACTATCGGGCCCCGAAGAACAAACAGGCTGGAAGTTCACCCTGGCACAGCATACCAACGTAAGCACGGTGACTCAACTGTACATAGACCATAGTACATGAAAATAAGAACAGCTTAGGGGCCGTCCGTAAATATCGAACTTTTTTCACCAAACGAATTATTTTAGTTTAGACCCAATCCCTCCCTCCCCCCCCCCCTCAGAACGTAAAAAAATGTTGACATACATGCAGATACAACGGCCATGTACATGGATCAATGTTTTCTGAAACGAAATTGGTCAACCCCCTCCCACCCCTTAACGAAATTATTTCGTTTTGTGAAAAAAGTTCGATATTTATGGACGACCCCTTAGGCTACGAGACCCCCCCCCCCCCCCCCCCCGTTCTTCGGCGACTGACAGTACTGTACTGATACGAAACAGGCTGCACTCACATCCCGACACCGGTTGCGTTCCCGTGCGAGGTCCGCATCTTTCTGTCGCTCTTCCCTCTCACTGGGTTGCACAAAGCAGATACAATTGGCAGCAAAAGATTCAAGAAATCAGGATCAGAAGCAACCCGCAGCAAATACAACGTGCTGAAATACAGGTGAAGAGAACTACACACGGGGCACTCGTCACCCTCTGCTCAGCCAGGAGAGAGAGGGAGAGGGAGAGGTAGAGAGAGAGAGAGAGAGAGAGAGAGAGAGAGAGAGAGAGAGAGAGAGAGAGAGAGAGAGAGAGAGAGAGAGAGAGAGAGAGAGAGAGAGAGAGAGAGAGAGAGAGAGAGGAGCAGCAGCAGCAGCACAACCAGCAGCATATGCCGATGCCAGACCATGACATGAGAACAGTAGGGGTAGCGTGGTGCATGCACATACATCTGCTGCTCGATCTCCTCTATATCGCGTTGCTGCTCATCACAGCGTCGCCGCGTTAGTTCCTGCTGCTGGTGATACAAAGCCCTCTTCTGCGCCTCGTTCTCTCTTTGAAACGACACCATCTTGCTTGCAAAAGCTTCATGGTGCTGCACAAAAACATAATATACAATACCGGAAGCAGTATGTCTATCACAGTGTGTCAGCAGCAGTGTATGCACTCCTAAAATGTTGCACAAGGAGAACACATACATGTATAACCAGCACAAAGCATTCTGGGCACACGAGTCATCTACTACTTGAAGAGTTCAAGAATTACCGGAATGCCATTCAGGTGCATGCCATTCAATGGCATTACGTCGCGAAGAGAAGCGAACAGTCATGACTGTAGAGATGTGCAGATTCTACGTGAGTGTGTACACAAATCTCACAAAGACAAGTGGAAACCAGGTTGCACCTACCTCACTGATCAACCAGTGCTATAGTCAAATATGCATAGCCAAATTCGAACACTGTACAATGGGTGATTTAGCAATGGTCTAACACTGGTTGACATCACCTACTATTTGTTTGTCTCGCTTCTCCTCTGCTCGCCGTTGCTGAAGCTCTCTCTGATACGCCAGCCGGGCGTCAGACTGCGACTCAACAAGCGGAAAGCCATGGCTGTCGTCCGCCTGCGCATGGCCGCCCGCTGCCTCGTCTGCAATCGAGAGATCCCCGGCCGCCTCGACGAGGCTGTCAACCTCAGCAGCAGCAGGAGTAGAGCATTGTGCAGGAGATCTGAGTGTGATGGCCACATTGACAGCAAGGGACAAAAGAAAAAAAGATCACATTTATCTTTTTCCTGTTTGCATCTATCCCTCAAACCAGTGAATATTTATCTTTTTTCTCACTTTTTCACTTCACTAATACAAAGGTCAAAATGAACCCTTACTTAGACACAAACTATGCTACTAGTCTAAAGGCCCATTCACAATCACCATCTGCGACGCGACGTGTGACATACGACACTTGCGACCAGGAAATGCCTGTCACTGTCGCCAGCAGTCGCAAGGCCACCGTCGCAGAAGTCGACCAAAGTTCAACTGTTGCGACGTGCGGCGCACGCGACGTACATACATGGAGTACACTTTCTACTCTGGGTGCACGAATAGTGCACATGCCTAGCACATGCACTGCATAGGGATGTCGCGAAAACCAAAAAAAGATGCGCAGCAGGTGTCGTAAGCTGCAAGTCGCGTCGCAAAAAGTGGTATCGTGAATGGACCTTTAGAAATGATAACTAAAACGTTAAAAAAAAAGTTCACCCACCGCATGCTGGTACTGCACCAGGAGTCATCACTCTGCCCCTTATTCCCACTTGCTGCTAGCTTCTGTAATGTCCCCCCCCCCCCCCCACACACACACACAGCGTGAGGAAGATCATTTATTTTAGTAGATGACGACATTGAGGACCACGTGGATTTCCCCATTCGGGACTTCCTTCTTTTCCTTTCGTATGCGATGATGTTTCTGACAACAATGGAAAGAGAGCAAGAAGTTCCTAGTGACGGTGAGCAGCCGTATGAGTCTGCTGCGGACAGCAGCCAAGCAGCAAATGACAGCGCAGCGGAGTCAGTGTTCT